TCTGATGTAATTTTTTATATAATAATTTCTAGTATGTGTTTTACATTAGGTACAACATATTTTTTCTCTTTATTTGACAAGAAGAAAATTAAAGGTCAGTAGTTCTGGTATTTTTCTGTTCTGTTTTTTATCATTCTACAAAAGATGCTAAAGTTAGTCTATCAGTCTGAAGACCAACTGTATTTGAAGCTAACCCATATAGCAAGATTAATTTTTTTTCTGTCACTAACTAAGCAAATGGTCCAAAATGAGCCACTTGACTAACTAACATTAACATAATGGTTCTAGAAACCTAAATAGTATACTGCTCGTATTCAAGAAAAAAATGTATTTGGAGAATTCCTGTCACTTTTTTACTTTTTCTTTCTTTCTTTTTCTTTTTTTTTTTTTTTTTTGGATGATTCAGGGAAAGCACCCATGAAATTTAGATTTGGGGAAGGGTATAGGGGAACATAGTATAATTGCAGCCTACTTTTACTCACCAGTACTTCAAGAGTAACATTCTATCCCATTTTTACTAAAACATTATATGTTGAAATAAGATTCATTTCCGATGTCATTTTGCAAAATTCCTGTTAAGATTTAAGCACTGGAAAATTTTTTTTAAAACTAGTGCAATTACTTTCTTTTCAACTGCAGATTTTCTTGACATGACTAGCCACAACTGTCTAATTTTTTTTTACATTTTAGTAAACACTGTATAAATAGGATAAAATTACTCTTTTATAGAGGAAACACAAATTTTCTCCAATGAATGCCTATCAACACACATATAATAACTAATTTCCTTGACAGGCTTAACAACAGATAACGTATTACTATTTAGCAACCAATTCTAGTAGACAGTTTCATAAAACAAATAAGCTGTTGTCTTGTTCTATTTCAATAGATATACTCATTGCTAATTTAAATGTAGACAAAATCTTATTCAGTCCTCCTATAAGTCAAGCTTTATCTTGCAGGCAAATATAGTCAGATACGTAATTTGCTTGTCAACTATTGCCATGTGTTCAGAAATGGAGTTATTTTAAAACATTTTAAAACAAACTTAGATTCTTAACCCAATTAATATTATGTCTGAACCTAAAATTACCAAATCATTTTGACCTCCATACCTATTCTATGCACATACATACAAAAACACACTCATAGATCATTTATATCTATCAAAGCATTTGTTTTTCATTTTGCTGTATACAGATAATTTCACAGAAAAGACAGTAAAATCTTAAGAGTTTTAGGAAAGGCAGAGCCATCTACTTCCTTCACCTGCCATACACAAACATTAATTCAACTATGGTTTTGAGAATATAAACACTGGAAAAGCTGATTTAATATAAAAAGTTTACAGCATGTCAACCACTGTGAACAAGACATTTAGGTCATTTTTAAGCAGTTACTTATCCCCCCAATCGCGTGAACAATACAGCTTCTGAATTAAACACCTAGCATTTTAGGAAAACCAGAAGGGAGAACATCAGCCATCTTTTGATCTCGCTGTTGTAGGCAGGAAGAATAACCCTCTCCCTTAAAAAAAAATCTATGCCCAAATCAAGAGAACCTGTAAATATGTTGTCTTAATTGGCAAAAATAAACTTTGAAGACGTAATTAAAGTTAAGGAATTTGAGATGGGAAGTTATTTTGAATTATTCACGTGGGCCCAATAAAATCACATGAGTTCTTAACAGTGGAAGAGGAGGGTAGAATTGTTGATGTGGGTCAGAGAGACTGGGTGATGGAAGAAGAGGTAGAGGTGATTTGAAATGTGTGGAAGACTGTACTTACTGTTTCTATCTTTGAACATGAAGAAAGGAGGCAGTCTTCATCTGTTCAGGCTGCTATAACAAAATACCATAAACTGAATTATTATAAACAATAGAAATTTATCACAGTTTTGGAGGCTAGGAAGTCCAAGATCAAAGCCCTAGCAAATTCAGTGTCTGGACTCACTGTTTGGCTCATAGATGGCACTTTGTTGAAGTGTCCTCACATGTTGGAAGGGGCAAGGAGCTTCCTTGGGCCTCTTTTATAAGGACACTAATCTCATTCAGGATGCCGCTTCCCTTATGATCTAGTCAGTTACCTCACAAGGGCCCTACCTCCTAACACCATCACCTTGAAGGTTAGGATTTCAATATATAAATTTTGGGGAGACATAAACATTCAGACCATAGTATGGGCTATGTGCCAAGGAATGTGGACAGCCTCTAGAAGCTAAGAATGACCCTCAGCTGAAAACCACCAAGGGAATGGAGACCTCTCTTCTAAAACTGCATGGAACTGAATTCTGACAACAACCTGAATGAGCAAGTAAATAGATTCTCCCTTAGTGACACCAGGAAGAAATGCAGCCCTGATGACACCTGGATTTTAGCATAGTGCGATCAATGTCAGACTTTCAACCTACAGAGTTGTAAGATACATATTTGTTGCTTTCAGTCTCTTAAGTTTGTGGCAGCAATAGAAAATGAATGTACTCTTCTTACAAATTTTGTCTGCATATTTTTTTTGGAGTGGGTTTATTTTAAAACAAGATAGGACTTGTGAGTTTAAACTAAAGATTCTTAGAACATTCTGGAATGATATTTATTTTTATAAAGTAACTTCTACTTTAAACACATGAAATTGATTTTATCTTGCATTCTAAGTCATCTGAGATTTGAAGGATGTTCCATGTCTTAGTCTTACTTATTGGGGCAACTTTGCAATCCCAAAAATTACATATACAAAATGAACTCCTCTTTTTTCTGTGTCACTTTAACTAGAGGTTCTATGTGCAAGACAAAACAGCAATCCTTCAGATTTATTTTATTTTATTTATTTACTTATTTACTTATTTATTTATTTTTAGATGGAGTCTTGTTATGTCGCCAGGCTGGATGGAGTGCAGTGGCACGATCTCGGCTCACTGCAACCTCTGCCTCCCGGGTTCAAGCAATTCTCCTGCCTCACCTTCCCAAGTAGCTGGGATTACAGGCATGGGCCACCACGTCCAGCTAATTTTTGTATTTTTAGTAGAAACGGGGTTTCAACATGTTGGCCAAGATGGCCTTGATCTCCTAACCTCATGATCTGCCCGCCTCAGCCTCCTAAAGTGCTGGGATTACAGGCGTGAGCCACCGCGCCCGTCCCATATTTATTTTTATACTCAAGCTTTCCCTTTACAAACTTTGCCCAAATTAGAGTGATAATACCAGTTACTTTTTCATAAGAAACAGGGCATCTGCAACATTGATTATCAAGTGGTTCTGAAATTCCCACTGCCCACACTTTGTTCTCACACGACTTTGAGCATCATAAACTAACTATAATATTCATTCATCATTAAGAAAAGGATTTACTTTTTACCCTTAAAAAATCACAACTGGACACAGTGGCTCACACCTGTAATCCTAGCACTTTGGGAGGCCAAGGTGGGCAGATCACCTGAGGTCAGGAGTTCAAGACCAGCCTGGCCAACATGGTGAAACCCTGTGTCTACTAAAAATACAAAAATTAGCCAGGCATAGTGATGCATGCCTGTAATCCTAGCTATCTGGGAGGCTGAGGCAGGAAAATCACTGGAACCCAGGAGGCAGAGGCTGCAGTTAGCCAAGATCGCACCACTGCACTCCAGCCTGGGTGACAGAGCAAGACTGTCTCAAAAAAAAAAAAAAAAAAAAAAAAAAAAAAAAAAAAAAAAAAAAAAAAAAAAAAAACTACCATTTTCTTTGCCTGTTTCTGCCGCAATGACTCAGTGTACAAAGTAATACAATTCACAGGAAGTCCAAACAATCTCTTTCTTTGTAGACTACATATATATATACACACACACCCATATGCGTATATACATATATGCATATGTGTGTGTATATATATACACACACACATACATATAAAAGTTGAGCTCAAAAAAGAAAAAAGAATGCCACTTAGCCATTGTATGTGATTTACTTGATTGAGAACTTTTTCTAACTGAGAATGAGCTTTTTCCAACTTTAACCTATTTGGAAGTTTGTGCCATGTGAAAACAATGAGTATGAGGATAATTTTTTATTTGAATTTTCCTATTACTTTTTAACTCATTTATGATGTTTATATTGTATGAATGTTTTATCTGACCTCCTTATTTGGTTGGTAGTTGTATTCATTTGCCTTTCCATCTGCCCCAAAAGCACCGAACTCATTGTATGACAAAGAAAATGTTCTCCGTAGAAATGCTTGTTGACTCCTTGTGCTCAAAGAGCTGGAATCTAAGGAAAATGGACCTTGAGTTAAAAGACAGCATTTCATGATGATTAAAAATGGTAGAGACAGGTGTTGAACAAACTTAAAATACATACGCAATTAATTTGAGGTACAGTTAGTTGGGAACACTTGTTGAGAAATCTAAATTGGCAAGCCATCACTCTAAGCAGGAGAAATAAGAAAAGAGGTCACTTGGGGAGATTCGGGAGACAGCCCAACCCTTTGTTGAGAACTGTCAGGGAATATAATTGAGTGTGTATGGAGGGCAACAAGATGGAAAATTATCCACAAGATATCTGAAAAACAAAATTGGTGTTTCTGAACAGGAGAAGAATGAGAGCAAAGAGAACTAACATTTATTCAGCAATTACTATAAGCCAGGCACTGTGGTGTTTGTGTATGTTATCTGTTTAAATCCTACCATCGGTCCAGAGAATAATATCATCTCTATTTTTAGAAAAACAAACCAAGATTCATAGAAATTGAACTCATATAAGCAGTTGATAGGATTTAAACCTAGAACTGCCTGATCCCAGTGTGTCTGCACTTGTTCTATAATATTGAGAGATTAAATTCTCCTTCAACACTTTCGAGCTGTAATTTTACAGAATATCAGTAAAGATATTTGAACTTGTCCATATGAAATCATTCAACATTGAAGTTCTTAATTCCTTTTTAACAGTCCTTTTGAAAATCAGGTAACAAATTCTTATTTGTTTTTCAACTTCATGCCATCTCTATATATGACTATTATTAATTTGACTACTTTTAGGTCACCATGAATCTACACATGGAAGGACATAGGCATTGCATGCAGGTATCCTGATTCATTGATATTGGTCTTCAAATCTGGAAGTTTCCACTTTTGCTAAGGTATGTTTTCCTTAATGGTGGAGGTTTACTAATTGGGTATACCTCCAGATCTAATTCTTTCATCTAATCCTCATATGATAGGAAGTAATGAGATCAACATCATTAGGCATTTTCAAATTTGAATTGAAACATAATACAATATGTTTATATTAGAGACTGGACAAAATTATCATTAAGATTCTAAGGTTCTACTTATCATTACCATGGGTGGGTTTTAAACTGCTAACTAGTTCAAGAACTGTAAATGAAAAAAGAAAAAACAACTTTGATCACTCCTGGGTATCAAATTACCATATTTTAAAATGTCTAAAAGTCGTTACTGTTGAAACTATGATTGTTCAGAGTTTAGGCAGTTGTATATACCAGGGAGGATAAAAAGGGTAGCTGTTCTAGAAATCTTTAGCCTATACTTTAAAAAAATTATAGCCATTGATACTGTGATAAATTTTACCTGAAATCTGTTCATTTGTTTAAGTATAGACAACTTAATGTCTATATGTTAAGTAATGTCTGTACTTATAGAAACGAACAGATTTTAGGAAAAATTTATCAATGATATTGATTATAGCTTAACTTATATTAATTTTTTAAGATACAGACACAGTGACCAAAATAAAGAAAAGGTCGATACGTTGTATCCACAAAATGGCATATTATACAACAATAAAATTACTTTTTTTCTTTTTTTTTTTTTTTGAGATGGAGTCTTGTTCTGTCACCCAGGCTGGAGTGCAGTAGTGTGATCTCTGCTCACTGTAGCCTCCACCTCCTGGGTTCAGGCGATTTGCCCGCCTCAGCCTCCAGAGTAGCTAAGATTACAGGCATGCACCACCACAACCAACTAATTTTTGTAATTTTTAGTAGAGATGGGGTTTCACCATGTTGCCCAGGCTGGTCTCAAACTCCTGGCCTCAAGTGATTTACCCAACTTGGCCTCCCAAAGTACTGGGATTAAAGGCATGAGCCACAGTGCCTGGCCAATGACATTACATTTAAATTCAGTTTAAAATGTTTCTATCCTTTAGCATGATTGCAATATAATAGTAGATAAAATACATAATGAAGTTAATAAAATCTCTCAGAGAAATGACTGAGAAAAAATTCTTAAATGTATTAATAATAATTAACTCAGAAATCATGGGTTATAAGTGATTTTTAACTTTTGATTAACTTTGGATTTTCTCTGTGATGATCAGTTATTACTTTTACCAAAGCAAAAAATTTATTAGTTGCCCATTGTACAAGCTACTTTGCCGGTATATTTTATAGACAGAGGATTTGTTTGTTTGGTTTCCGTATTCTACATTACATTACCATGAGTTCTCTTAGAATTTTTAATTTACGCCTTATTATTCACAACTGATAAAATAATTCAAGTTGAGTTTGAGTGTATTCATTCCTTTCCAATCTTGGTTTTGAGGTAATATGATTTTTTATTTACATATCATTTAATATCATTATTACCAATGTATCATTTACATGAACTAATTTACTTAATTTTAAGTGTAAATGTCAATGAATTTTGTTAGATTGTATATCATTTTATTTGTGCTTGCTATTTTAATGCTCCAAGTTTAAAGTTAGGGTGTGAATAATGCCCTCCCCCATCTTCACACTTACAATATTGAAGCCCGTTAAAGCCCAGATTAGGAGGAGTTCCTGCTTCCTCCTCTTCTACTTTCCTCCTAACTCCTTAAAATATTTAAGAATCCCCCTGAGGATCCTACAATTGTTAGGAATGCAGTACTTTTTGTTTCCTCAGTCCTCCCTTTTGTTTCCTCAGTCACCCAATCTTTACTTTGAAGCCAAAGACTTTCAATTGCCACCAAAATTTGCTTTGAAAGTAACCAGTGTTGGATAACAACCTGAAAACTTGGGAGCCTAATGTGAAGCTAAGGGTCATAGGTAGCCAGCAATATTTCTTCAGAGGTGGTATAGCTACATCACATTTAATAAAAACAGATCTTCAATATTCAGTTATTTTTAGGTTCTATGATGTTAGTTTCCCATTTAAATTGTATCCTCATAACCAACCACCAACCTGCAATCCTCACACAATCTTTCCTGATGGTCAATCAAGGGGGGGGGGGAATAAAATGAAGATATAAATAAACAGGGATGGGCTGGTAAGAGAAACCAGAAACTGAGAAGACAAAGTTAGAAACATGTAATCAACATGAAAATGTAAGGTTCTAGGGGATTTAAAAATCCTCGGGAGACTTTTGGGTTACACAGGCTATTTAATGAAAATTGAAAAAAATTTATCCAGTTAGCAAAAGGTAAAGAGATTTGAAAAATGTGTTCTTTAGCACCTCAACAATTTCTGAAAAGGCCTGGAGTGAAGGTAATGTAAGTATTTTGCTGAGACTTTCAAAAACAAAACCAGGGAGATGGAAAGTGTAACATAAAATAATATTGAGGAAAAACAGCAACAAATTATTAGAAACTTTAACAAGAAATATAGTTTGGATAGCAAAATCTTCAAAAGGAGTTGGATTCAGCACAGCAGTACAAAGTCACAGGGATCCTGAGTACCTAAGGTCAATCAGGAGGAAAAAGGGGGGTGTGGGTTAAGGCCAATAAAATAGAATTGTTTTTGAAGTGAAAGCCTCAAAGAAATTTTATTTACAAAGGTTTTTATTACAACAATATATTTAATGTAATATCATTTAGAGTCTCCTAAACTATTTTTGAGACCTTAAACCTCTTTGAGCATTGCGTTGTAATCTATGCTACTTTTCAAGAATATTACCACTGTCACCAGTGATTGACTATTAAATGTTTCCTGTGTTTTTCTCTCTGTATATTTCTCCCCACTCTTCCTGCTCTTTACTTCTGTCCTAACTTCCTAAAACTATAGTTACAGGCCCACAAACTCAAATGCCATCAGGGATGAAGCAGGCAAAGGCAAAATGAATGTATCCTAAAAGTAGGTGATAGGGATTGTGAAAAGATAATGTGTCCGGCTTTTTTTTCTCTCTCTCTCTGTCAAACACACACACACACACACACACACACACACATACACGCACGCACACACACGCACTTCGATAGTCTGAATCCGTGGAGCACTATTTGTAACTCCAGGTGTAAATATAGTGGCCTCTGGAGTAAGACAAATAGGAAACCCACTTTCTACATTTGTAAGAAATGTTGACTTGGGCAAGTTATCTCACTTCTGTAAGTCTACATTTCCTCTTTTGTAAACTGGGAATAATAATAATGTTTGCCACAGAAGATTGCTATGAGATTTAAGGGCTTTAGTTCAGGTGAAGGCTCTAATATAGTACCTGAGAGAGATTAAGTACTAAATAAATGAATGTGGTCCCTTGTCGCTATTGCTATTTTTTCGTTATTATTAGTGACCTCATTTGCCAATAAAAGTCTACTTAGAGATGTACATTAGTATGTTCATTAACTGTGGATGGCAAATAATTTACATTGCCTGGAAAAGAATGTCTGGGACAATAAAAGGAAAGCAACAATGTCTATTTCTTTTTTTCCTTTGTCTGTCTGTCTGTCTCTGTCTCTCGCTTTTCCACATTTCTACCAAGGTGAGATTTTTTGTTCATCATGAGCATCATGAGGTTTTAGAATATTAAAAAAACAAACAAACAAACAAAAAAAACAGGGTAAAGCCAACACCTTAAAGTCAAGAAATCTACCCCAGAGGTTTAAGTTACCGACCTAAAGTCAGTTCATAGAAGACTTGGGACTAAGAGAAACAAACAAATAAGCGAACAAAAAATAAAACAGGAAACTCCAATCTCAGAAGTAAACTTCAGTAACCACTCAGACAGATGACAAGATAACATTTACTTGAAATTCAAAGTCACCTATGGTTTTGAAGGGATATTTGTATCTACAAATAAAACTGTACTCTCTAGGTGCCTTACTTTCTTGAAATAAAAAAAAGATCTCATCACCATAACTAACGCTACCCAGAATAGGGAATCCTAAATATAAAATCCAACTTTCCAACATTGTACTATAATAATATATATAAAACATATATATAACATATATGACAACCATATAATATATATATGTTTTTAAATATTTTAATCTCATCTTTCAAGATGGGGATTACTACAGCACTTTTTGTTAAGGAAATATTGAGAACACATTTCCATCTTCAGTCTTACTCCACTAATAATCTACTAAGTTATTTGAATCACATTAGTTTTATAAATATATTTTAAACATTTTTAATATTTAAATATAATATTTAGTTAATTATATTTGTTCATAAGAATTCCAAAAGTATAATAATTTGGTATTTTAACACAATTTATTTTCTTCTTTCATTTCATGTTCCTAGTATGAATTCTTATGAAGGGAAGTGACCACTCATGCTATTTTGACTTGATTCACTTAGCAAGGGAGAAGTTACAAATATGCTGTTTGTATGGAAACAGTTTCTCCCACTTCAGTCCCCAGATTAACATGGAGGATTAGTGTTATTGATATTAATATTAATATTTATAAGTACCATTTAGATGTTCCTCTCTCTTTTTACTCTTCTTTCAATTTTACATAGAGGATATGGGCTATGAAGTGGGCTTGTCCCATATCTGACCCTGAAGGATTGAGAGAGATAGTATTCATTAAATGAAGAAAATGGCCTGATGAAAATGTGTTGTACAAATAAGCACATTTTAAAAAGTGTTTATTTAAACTTTATATTGTATTGGCATATGGTATGTTTTATACCAACAATTATCTACTGAAAATGAAACCCTAGAATGTAAAAGTGATTTTGGCCTGTGATATTCCCAGAAAGAAACTTTGGAATAGTATTTCAGAAAATCCTCTTACCAAATACTTCTGTAGATGACAAAAGTAACTTGAATAGCTCATTATACTTTCGTAATTTGTTAAAAGTGTTTTTAAAATTAATGTTAGTTACTTGGTAGTGGCAGTGAATCAGGTGAACATGATTACAATTTGCCTTATATTTTAAACTGAAAATATAGAGTGGGAAAAATAAAAATACGTGT